TTGCTGGTTGAAAAGTTGTGCATAAGAAGAATAAGTCGTAATATTATAGTAACATATTTCATATATTTTCCCGTTTTTTTTTTCGGTTTTTTAAATTTTATGAGAAAACTCCTGAGAAAATCGAAATATGACCTTCTTAAAGTATTTCCTCATATTAATATCCTTTCAGGAAAAGGCGCTGCACTAAGAAATCTGAGTATGTCCTCTGGTAGAAAAGTTGTTAACAGATAAAAAAAAAATAAGCATCTTTATAAAATCATAAGCTTCTTTGCTTTACTCAGAATTTAAAGAGCAGATTGCTTATTTTATATAATTTACTGAGATATATAGTTATAAGACCAAGGATGGACAAATTAAACACTTTTTGTTTACTCTTAAAGAGTAAAAATACAGACAAAATTAAGTTAAGTGTTTAGTAAATTCCTAAACAAAATTTAATATTAACTAGTTAACTATCAGTTAAAAATTAAATTTCACAATTTTTTGAATTAAAATATTTTAACAGAAGAAGTTAAATGGTCTCTCAAACTTATTTTTTTTCCTGGCGGTCGATATACTTCGTCATTGCGCGCCAAAACTAAAAGACATAAAAAAAAAGATCGTACCTCATTACAACATTTAATTTAAACTAATTTATAGCTTGGCAGGCAGGTTTGAAAAGAGATAGGTTGGGCTGGAGCTTGGAGATACTTCCATGATTACCGTAACCCACACTCCATTATCTTATGTATGCTAATTGCTATATGAATTTCTAAAAATAGAAAATATAACTACTCTAATTGAAGATTTATCAACTAAGGGAAAAACATAGGTACAAAATTAAGATAATTTGCTTACGACCAAAATTAACTTAATTTAAAATACACAAGTTTAAATTTAAGTTAACTCGTTAATTACACAAAAAAATAACCTATTCAATTATAAGTTAATCATACAACAATGATTATATTTGATTAATACTGACTTAACTTTTAATGCGTAATGTTCTGTTTTGAATAAGATATTTTATAATTTAAGATATATATCATGTACGTATGTACATATATAGCTATATGTATCGATTTATTGTTTAATAAAGATGAATATGTTAACAAAATAAGTATACAATTTCCCCAGGGCAATTTCAGTTTATATATATATATATATCATATGGCTTATAAAATAACGTTTTATAATTTTCGTATTTATCTTACTAAATCAATCTAAAATAGCATATACGAAATTCAACTCTAAATATTATTCATACGGCACGAGGAAAATTGAATACTATATTCTATTTGTATAGTTTCACGTTCAAAATGTTATTTGTTTAGGATTTTGTTCGTCATAACCTTCTCAAATAAATAAATCATGAAATAGGTAGGTACAGAAATAGCGCTACCCTACAAATTGCAAATTTGTCACTACTTTAATTCTTCCAGTTCTTATTTGTTCAGATTAAACGAAATTAGTTAGGTTATGTTATAGAATAATGCGAGTGTGTATGTAATATTGAACGGTATCGTAGTTGGTAACTTAATTTTGTTTTATAGTAATTATTATTAACTCTCGTCGGGGAACACTGTTGCCAAAATGGCCATCAGTAGATAATTATAACGTAATATTTAGTGTCACGAATTCTCATTAGTGTATACATCATAGTTTCAATATTGTCGACATGTTGATATTGTATAATATAATTGTTACTTATTAAGAGAGGACATAAAGAAATTAATTACGAGTATACACAAGTCTGGAATATAAAATATTCTATAATCCAGGGTTTTGAGAAAAAAAAAGCTGTTTTAGGATAATAGGATGGATGCAGCCACTGCCATAGGTAATTCAATGTATATCTGTAAGCCACGATTATCCATTGCTAAGGAAAAAATGATTTTGAGCAAGGTTCAATTGATAGTATTGCTTTGTTAACAATATGTATATGTCATATTATAGTCCATATTATATCCATTTATTGGGAAAACTACTGGGAAAATCAAAAAATGACTTTTCTAAAGTACCTCTCAAGTCAAATTTTCTTCCAAAAAAAGTGCTACATTTGTAAATCGGAGTAAGATTTCTAGTTGAAAATTTGTTCACAGAAAAATAAAATATCATTGTAAAACCAATACAATCCTCGCTCCGCTCAGAATCTAAAAACAATTTTCAACGGCACTGGCTGATATGAGAAAATTCCTTCGTCGTATTCGTAAAATATGTGGTTAAAATGTTGAGGGTTTTTATTAAGGTCGGAGACGAGTTGGCGGTGTATATTATAATTAGGTACGTTATTATAACAGGGTTTTTATTTTTTGTTCCCTACTGCTTATTTTAACTAGCGAAATCACGGGTATATAATATTATAATATTCTTGCCGTTTACTCAAAGTTTAACGTTAATTGAAAAATAATAAACAACGTGGTCGTGAAAAAAAAACCAACAAAATAACGTCAGACGGATGATGGGTATTGTATTTGACGTGTACAAAGTATTAAATTTTACACCACAACATCGCCGCCGCCTTCGGGATGATAGTATCAAAGTAAAAAAAAAAATCCTTTTTACCGAAGAACACACATACAAAAACTGGCTAATATAGTAATCGTTTCATTAATTTATTTTAAAACGATTACACAAAACTTTCAACATGTTGATGTGTCTACTGACTACTGCAGTGATGATTTACAATTTCGCCAACGACTGGCAGATATTTTTAAATTTATATAGTAAAAATTGAATGCAATGTAATAATTTTAAATTGTAAATTGATGTTTTTTTTTGAAAAAAATAGGACTTGTTATATATTTTGTTAATGACAAATAGAAAAAACAAATACAAATATTAAGGTCAAGTAGAGATGTCTCGCTCCTAATCTCTAAACCTAAATATACTGCGGTTTACTGGGTCACCGAGTTATGTTTTCGCATAAATGATATACTTAATAATATGGTTGATATATTATTTCAACATTCACCATTGTGAATATTTTGTGATAATGAAACTAGATCGATCGAATAAATAATGGATAAGAAATTATAGTAAATAGTAACAATTATGTTTATTTCAGAAATGTTAGCTAAAAATTTCACTATTTTTAGGATTTACAATAATTATATAATCTTCCGCCGTCTATAATATATATATATAGCCGATCCCTCTCCGAGAACGAAAATAATGTATACATATATATATATATCGACAGCAGCGCGCATTGTGTTTCTTACCTGTAAGATCCTGTAAGATCCTGTAAGATCCTGTAAGATCCTGTAAGATCCTGTAAGATCCTGTAAGATCCTGNAAAATCCTGTATCAGTTGGTCTCTTAGCCCCACACCAAACTTGTATACCGTATAATACGCCTGTACATAATGTCAATATTTTAATAAGTTATTATTATTATTTTTCTAAATAATATTTTTCATAACACACCATCAGCAATCATTATTAACGAGCTCACCATGCCCCGCCCGCCTATTGGGCGGTCAACGCATATCGTATTTCTCTGAATGTCGGCGACTGCCCATACAAAGGTTGATATATATAATTGTGTCTTCGCGCGCGTTACCATACCGTCGAATAACCTAAGTCATCCCGCCCTATCCTATACGCACTCTTCGTCTGTATCGCAACTATAGGTACCTATACTAAAATAATATTTTATAACGGTTACCGATAGACACAGAATTATAATCGACAACGCCAATCCTAGTGTCCACCTCTCCCCCGCCCATCGACCAGGCGCTGATTATTTATAGTACTTTATATTGCGGTCGAGCGCGCGCACGCCCGCGTCCTCTACCCCGCCCATCAACACGCCGTTACAACCAAATATTATCTATACAACAAAATATTTTATTGCACGTTTTATTACAATTGTGTCCTCGCGCGCGTTACCGCACCGTCGAATAACCTAAGTCAGCCCGCCCTATCCTATACGCACTCTTCGTCTGTATCGCAAGTATAAGTACCTATACTACAATAATATTTTATTGCGGTTATCGATTGACAAAGAATTATAATAATAGACAACGGACCTGCACAGGCCAGTATAGCGAGGAATCTGTTACGTCCGCCTCTCCCCCGCACATCATCCCACTGCCGAATATCTATACAATATTGTTTAGCGGCCGCGCGCTCGCCTCCTCTCACCCGCCCACCTACCCACCGTTTCGACCAGTTTTGTTAACGACAATATAATCTAAAAATGTAAGAAATAATTACTATTTACACCGTTAAATATTATCGGATTATTTATCCATGACCACAACGACGGGACGATCGATCGTCAGTAGTGATTATACTACACACCATTTGTCCAAGTGTCTTTCGCGATCACCGGTTTTTTTCTAAGTCATAATAATTTTCGTTGCTGATAACTTTTTATTTTTATTTGTTACGTATTTTATTTAATACGTACTTATGTACTTTCGCCGGTTGCAGCAGATTTTTTAACGTCAGGCGCAGCATGACTCGCCACGCTAAATCGCACGACGGAGTAAAATTTCAATGCGCTTTGTGTACGAAAATTTTCGCGCGTAAAGACAATCACGATATCCACGTTAAAATTGTTCATCGTGACAGAAGAGTCGCCACGCCGGCTATTCCCCTGAAGGCCGGACCATCTACAGTATTATCGACTTCAACCGTGCCATAGACTACCGACGAAGAAAATGACGAGTTGATTCCAAAAATTTCAATAACGTTCAAAATTACAAACAATTTCTCAGCGCAATCAAACCCGCACTTATAGACCTACTCGAAAAACTTGTACTAGAAAACCCGATTAAATTCAATTTAAAAATACAGCCGACATATCACAAACCGCAGGTTGAAAATTCCGCCGTGAATAGGGCGTTTAAGACCTCTGCCAGGCCGATTTTCTTGGATACCGAAATAAATGACATAATAGAATAAAAATTCACGAAATTACTTTCCGAACAAAACGTATACCAAGGACGAGGAAGTGGATTCTCCCTACAGACGATAGACGGCCTTTTATTAGGTGTTTATAAATTCCAGCCGATGTGCGGATCGTCATATATACCGCTACCCAAAGATATAAAAAATAAACGTGCAGTCGTCAACCCACGTAACATGGACGAAGAATGTTTTAAGTGGACAATATTAGCGAAGCGTGTTACAGGAATAAACAGAGACCGCTTTGTTGGTTCAAATTATACCAAACACGAAAATAAATATAATTTTTCTGGATTGACGCATCCAACGCCGCTTTCGGATATTAAACATTTTGAAAAAAATAATTCGAACGTGTCCGTAAATGTTTACGGACTGAAGAAGGAAGAAAAAAATAAAAAAACGTTACACACTGTTTTTCCGATTAAAGTAGTAGACGAGGAGAAGACGGGACATTTCGGTCTGCTGCTGATAAACGAAAACGAAAAGTCCCATTATACCTACATCTCTAATTTTTCACGCCTTGTCGGATCACAAAAAAATAGTCATGAACATACGTTAATTTTCTGTAAACGGTGTTTCACATCTTTCGATAACCAGAAACTTAAAAATAAATTGAGCGGGCAGGCGGCACTCGACCAACATAAAATGATATGCGGTGAAAATAAACCTATTTTGCCCGTAATGCCTGAACCCGGATCAAAATTAAATTTCGATGCGTATGGAAAAACCCAAAGACATCCCATCGTTATATACGCTGATTTCGAGGCGATATTGTAGAAGACGGAAGAGAAGAAAGGAAGCAGTACCAGCGTAATCCAAAACCATAGAGCAATGCCGTATGGGATTTTTGTAAAGGCGGCCGACGATGTCCCAACCGGATTATTAGAAGAATATGAAATACCTACCGAGCCGATTATTTACCGAGGAAATTAAGGAGAGACCGAGGTGGCAAAACATTTTGTAGAAGCGACAATGGAAATAAGTCGGCGAATCGAAAAATTATTAAAGACGAATAAACCGATTATTATTACTGCGGAGGATGATCAAAGTCACGTTACATGCCGGCAGTGTAATTTATGCAGCTGCGGATTTTCAGCCGCAAACCCGAAAGTCGCCGATCATAACCACTTGTCGAGTAAATTTAGGCAGACGCTGTGTAATACTTGTAATCTGAAATTACGAGTATCTAAATTTGTACCATGCCTTTTTCATAATCTTTCTAATTACCACTCACATTTCATCGTGGCCGAGCTTGGTTATGACGCGCAAACGGTTTCCGTTATTCCTAACGGCTAAGAAAAATTAATTTCATTTTCGAAATATGTGAGCAACACCTTCTCCGTACGATTTATAGACACTTTTCGATTTATGGCGTCGAGTCTATATCGTCTCTCGCATCGTACCTACACACATCCGATTTTCAGAAGTATTGCGAATCTAAATAAGTCTTTAACATCGAATACATGCCGCTTGTAACTCGTAAGGGAGTGTACCCGTACGAGTACATGATAGAACTTGAACTTGTATACCGATACAGGTAAATTATTATTATTATTTTTTTGTCTTTTACATATTATATATTCTTTTTATTATTATTTTTCAGATTCGTTGGTCTATTATATTAAGACGAAAGATTTTTACGCGGACCTGTTGAAAATTCCCGGGCTGTTGGAGTGTACGGACATGGTTAATTTACCGAGAGACCTCCCGTGCAATGTAGCAGAAAGTAAGAAAATACCAGGTCTTTTTCCAATGAATCGGATGGAAAAACGATCACAGAGTTTTGTGCATTATGTGCCAAATCTTATGCTTATAAGACTGATGGTGAAGAAAAGATCAAAGCGAAAGGCATCCGGGGTCATGTGGTCAAAAACCACATGGCGTTTAACGATCACAAGAAGTGCTTGTTTGGGGAAAACGACTTGGATGTGCATAGAGAGAATGTTTCCATTCGCTCGTTCCACCATCAATTAAACACCATCTCTACAAGGAAACTCACTTTCAACAACTATGATGATAAGAAGATTATATTAGAAGACCGTATTCACACAATGGCATATGGACACCACCAACTACTACGAGACAGTAAATGAATATATTGCATAAAAATGTATGTATATATTGTGAAAAAAAAAATGTAAATATTTGTTAAATAAAAACAAAATGTAATATATATGAAATAATTGTCAAATAAATGAAAAAATATACTATAGCTTTATTATTTATATGAACACATTTTTTATAAATACTATGTGCACTTATAAAAAAAGTTTATCTATGGACTATCTACCGACACTTGTTTTAAAAAGAAATGTATTAAAGATCTTTTATTTCTACGAACAAGCAAATGTGTTCAATTTTTGTAAAATATACTATAAACTGTAAATATAGTAAATACATTATAACTCTTTGTAAAATATATTATTGTATAAATTTCAATATATATATATATATATCTAAGTAGCAACATATCTAAGTAATAACAAATACATAAAACAATAATCTAAATAACAAGCAAATTAAAAGAAAAATAAAACTAAGCAATTAATACATAAAAATTAAAATCTATGTAATAAACAGAAAAAAAATCTACATAACTAACAGATTAAAGAAAAAGTAGACTCGCACGAATCCTGTTATTATTATATTTAGTATAGGTATACAAATATAAAAAATCTTGTCTTGAACTACCGTTCATGTATGAATACAACCAATATAAAATATTAATAACGAAAATATTATGTCCGAGGACGGTCACGTAGGTATTACGATGGTGTGTGTGTATGTGTATGCTCGCGCGCGTGTGTCTAGGTAGATATGATATGGATTGTGTGATATTTAATCATAGTGGTGTGTAGTGGAAAAACTACAGGATTTTTATATATTTTGTACTCGTAATTTCCAAATCGTATTTATTTTTTTTCGGTCGGTTCGAAGCTGTGAGAAAAAAAAATGCAATGTTAGGTTAGTTTAGTTTAGGTTTGGTAAGGTTAGTTTAGCATAGGTTTGATAAAAGAAAAAAAAGAACAGACATTCGCTATACAGGCCTGTGCAGGTCCGTTGTCTATTATTATAATTCTTTGTCTATCGATAAAATATGATTGTGGTATAGGTACTTATACTTACGATATAGCCGAGGAGGGTGTATAGGATAGGGCGGGATGACTTAGGTTATTCGACGGTGCGGTAACGCGCGCGAGGACACAATTGTAATAAAACGTGCAATAAAATATTTTGTTGTATNTGGTTGTAACGGCGTGTTGATGGGCGGGGTAGAGGACGCGGGCGTGCGCGCGCTCGACCGCAATATAAAGTACTATAAATAATCAGCGCCTGGTCGATGGGCGGGGGAGAGGTGGACACTAGGATTGGTGTTGTCGATTATAATTCTGTGTCTATCGGTAACCGTTATAAAATATTATTTTAGTATAGGTACCTATAGTTGCGATACATTCGAAGACGGCGTATAGGATAGTGCGGGGTGATTTAGGTTATTCGACGGTATGGTAACGCGCGCGAAGACACAATTATATATATCAACCTTTGTATGGGCAGTCGCCGACATTCAGAGAAATACGATATGCGTTGACCGNATGGGCGGGGGAGAGGTGGACACTAGGATTGGCGTTGTCGATTATAATTCTGTGTCTATCGGTAACCGTTATAAAATATTATTTTAGTATAGGTACCTATAGTTGCGATACAGACGAAGAGTGCGTATAGGATAGGGCGGGATGACTTAGGTTATTCGACGGTATGGTAACGCGCGCGAAGACACAATTATATATATCAACCTTTGTATGGGCAGTCGCCGACATTCAGAGAAATACGATATGCGTTGACCGCCCAATAGGCGGGCGGGGCATGGTGAGCTCGTTAATAATGATTGCTGATGGTGTGTTATGAAAAATATTATTTAGAAAAATAATAATAATAACTTATTAAAATATTGACATTATGTACAAGCGTATTATACGGTATACAAGTTTGGTGTGGGGCTAAGAGACCAACTGATACAGGATTTTACAGGATCTTACAGGATCTTACAGGATCTTACAGGATCTTACAGGATCTTACAGGATCTTACAAGATCTTACAGGCAAGAAACACAATGCGCACTGCTGTCGATATATATATGTATACATTCTTTTAGTTCTCGGAGAGGGATCGGCTATATTTATATTTATATTTTAGACGGCGGAAGATATGTGTGTGTGTGTGTGTGTTTGTATAAGTGATACGTATTGTATATTTATAAGTTTATGTGCGTGTGTATGTGTGTGTGTAGGTATGTGTAGAGGGTCTGTGGGTAGGGAAAGGCGATAGTAGTATTTGGTGATAACAGTGTGGAAAAAAAAGGGAGGGGTCTAAATAGGTCGAGTACGTGGTGCATGTAGGAAATATTATAAAGGGGATGGGGGAAAATATTGCTCGTCTAAGTAGTCAATAATGTGGAAAAAAAAATATTTTGAAAAAAAAGGGGGGACGTAGTCTAAATAGGTCCAGTACGTGGTGCATGTAGGAAAAAAATTGAAAAAAAAAATTCTTGCACCTGCTCCTGTTCCTTGCACCTTGCACCTACACCTGCACCTGATTTAGAACAGGCTATTTTATACTACTGGCATAAGGTGTTGTAGTATATTATTAACAAATTGATGGGAACAGCACTACAGAAAAGAAGAAATAGGCTTTCTGTAGGATAGGATTACAGTTTAATATAGACAAAAATATGTATAATTGAAATGAAAATAATGGATTCCAACTACGATGGATAAAAGTGTATTAATACAATATATTCAGATTAAAGCCATTGTGCTGATTTTTAAAAAGAATATTTTTTACATATTATGTAAAGACGAAATCACTTTATTTGTTGGCATCGTAATTATTATACTTGTAATATCCACAATATCTTTACGATCTAATTTTAAAGTATTATTCAATCGAAATACTGCACCGCAGATAAATCATATCTGATCAAATACGAATTACAGCTTTCCTATTTAATTTCATAGTAGTTGTATTAATTTGAATAATTTAATTAATATAATATTATTTCAAGTGCTTTTTGGTGTTTGATTTTATTATGCGTCTCTCTAATACATTTCCTGCGTGTTCTCATGTTCACACGTGAGTGGGCCACTGTCGTAGGTTAAAAGTCGGGAAGATAGTAGAAGGGAAATTGAATGTGTATCTGTGTATCATTGTAAAACAAATACATTACTCGCTTCACTCAGAATCTAAAACAACTTACTCGTAAAATGGTTAAGTAATTTGTATTTAGTACCTCCCGATAAGTTACTTTACCAAAGTAATATTATCGATTTAAGGGTTGCGACGCTCATAGCGGTTAAAATGCTGCGTTGCTCATGTATAGGAACAATTATGTCAGAATATGATATGTTGTATGTTCAATATTACTGTAATTTTAAAAAATCCGGGGAATGTAAAAAGATGTTTTTTTTTTTTAATAATATAAAAATATACAGACGTGGTTGTTCTAGATCCCGGTGAGCTATTTAGCCCCGGTTTGTCCTTGCTCATAGCGTAGGACATACATTATTATTATCATCCTGTTCAACAATTCGGTCAATGGTTTAAAACTATAAATTAGATATACCATTCTCTTTAAACACTCGGTAATCTTTTGACGCACGGGTATTGGCCATCCGAACGGAAGTGAATATTGTTCAGGACAAACCGGCCGGAAGCGCTCGAAATATTCGCGAAACAATGACTAATTCGATATGACTACCGTTCTGCACACATCACATACGAATCCGATATCATTTTGTACGCGTCAAGTGGACTTTATGAGGGCGTAGGTACTCGCATGGTTAAATAAATATGGGTACGATTGGCAACTCGACGTATTTCGGTGTACATTAATTGTATTACGTGTATACCGATGGAAAATATTGAAATTGTACGAAAAGAAAACTCGGCTATAACTAATAAAATTACTGCCACTGATACGACGATAACTACGTATCTACTAAAACTAGTAGTATTTTCGGTTTAGCCGCCACTATCTTTAAATATCAGTATTGACAATAAATTCTCAAAATAAGTCCAGCGCTCCCCGGATCCCCTATTATTCTGGGCTTGAGTATGGCATTGGAAACACGAATTTTAAATATATGTAGTGATGTCATCGAAGCATCGCAGTACTGGTTAAGTTCGATAGTTGGTAAAATTCATCGATTCACATCTACTTATTTTCCAGTATAACACCGACAGTGTGATTTATTTGTATTTTATTTATTTTCTCTTGAATTATTTATATAAGATCTATGGTTATTTTTTTTGCTCAATTTTGCGACGAAGGTAAATAACTAACTATAAAAAAAAAAAAAAAGAGTGACCTACACGTATCGAAAACACACGTCGGAAGAAGTTTATTATGTTGTATTAAAAAATAAATTGATATAATAAATAACGCGGAATAAATCGTTCCTACATACCTACCTCCAACAGTGAAAGTTCAATATATTTACACAATTAATATCCACCACGGGAGTCAATTTTCGGCCTTTAAGTGTCGTCCTTGTGTATTTTTCGGTGTGACTCAAACGGCTCCCGTCGAAAAATATTTCACACCAGTATTCGACATTTAAAAGAGGGTGACGAAATTTGAATAAAGAGATATCAATAATTATTGATTTGACATCAAATGAAAAAGTTATATAAGTACTTGAATGTGGTATATTCGTTTTTTTATATACCTATGCAATTGCAAGGTTATGTCGGGAAGCGTTTGCGCGTATTCAAACGAAATCGTAAGAAAATAATTAAAGACCCCAGAACAAAATAATTTACACAATTGTTCACGGAGAATAAAAAAACATTTCAAAAAAATCAAAAACTTATTTTGAACATTTACAAATATATACTCTAATAGAACTTCTACTGGTTACAACGATTCTCCTGGTGATCTAATTGAATATAATTTTCGAAGTTGTAAAGTCAAATAT